GAAGGGAGGGAGGGAAAGAGAAAGAGAAAGAGAGAGGAATATCGATGTGAGAGAGACACATGAATTGGTTGCCTCCCGCACACACCCCGACCAGGGCTGGCGATTGAACCTGCAAAGAACCTAAGGGGGAGACCTCTGTACTTCTTTTGTAGAAGGGACATTACAAATGGAATGTTGGAGAGCAGGGGACTGTGCTTGTGTAATTGTCTCTGGGAGTACATTAAACAGGGTACTAGGCAAATACACATTGAATCTGTAAGCGCAGCAAAGGGATGTGGTAGTATCTTTGAACTAACTGATGCTTAGCTGAGAGTGCTGGCAACTTTCACACGCTTTCCTTTGGCTGTTTAGATAATGATTTCTTGCAAGATGCAATGTGAGGTTTTTTAAGTTTGGAAAGCATATAAACCTTTTTCTGGTTTTTATATTTTGAGGGACACAGAGGCAGAAGTCTTTGTCATCTTCTCTGTGGGTGTCCAGGGAAGTGTGCAGGATGCATTCCATAGATTAAGACGGTGAGGAAGAGTATGTGATGGTTGTGACAGGGTCCTAAAGAAGACAACTACTGAACTTACCCGAAATTTTTAAAATAAATTCAGACCAGGTATCTCTGTGTATAAACAAAAGTTTCCTGTAAAACGTAGGTATGGGGGTGTGTGTGTGTGAACTTGGCATGTGATTTAAAAAGGCATATTCATGTATTGACCTTTGTTGCAATTCAAATGATAGTAAAACAGTGCAACAGAACCTTCTTAACTACTGAGAGAGTTAATTTAGAAAGGGAAATAATTTATTATAGAGAATGGTTTATTTAAAATTTTGACAAACACTGGTGTAGAGTAAGATTTTTCTCTTAAAATAACTTTCTTTCTCAAGGTATCCAAGCCCACCAATGGGATCTGTATCAGCACCCAACCTGCCTACAGCAGAGGAAAATCTGGAATATGTACGGACTCTCTATGATTTTCCTGGGAATGATGCTGAAGACCTGCCCTTTAAAAAAGGTGAGATCCTGGTGATAATAGAGAAGCCTGAAGAACAGTGGTGGAGTGCCCGGAACAAGGACGGCCGGATTGGGATGATTCCCGTCCCTTATGTTGAAAAGCTTGTGAGATCCTCACCACACGGAAAGCATGGAAATAGGAATTCCAACAGTTATGGGATCCCAGAACCTGCTCACGCATATGCTCAACCTCAGACCACGACTCCTCTACCTGCAGTTTCCAGTACTCCAGGGGCAGCAATCAACCCTTTGCCATCCACACAGAATGGACCTGTCTTTGCAAAGGCAATCCAGAAAAGAGTACCCTGTGCTTATGACAAGACTGCCTTGGCATTAGAGGTAAAATCTACTAAGTTTATTTTTGGGGGGTTCTTTGACATTTGGTTTGCATCTTTAGTTTTAATTTTGTTTCTACAAAGTTATATTCATGGGAATAAGAGAACTGGGTGATTTTGGAAGATCCACTGTGAGGGTCACATGATTCTTTCGTCCTTTTCTCTTCCTTGTTTCTTCCAATTTCTCAGACTGCTTGCTCTCTTTTCTGCTTCGAAAGCCTCATAGATTTTCTTTCCAGTAAGGAGAGATGATGTTTAAGAAAGACCCATAACCTAGAGATGATATCAGTAGACAGATACATAGCTACTTGTGCATTTCCATATTTCTAACATTGTGTTCAGTTGAGTTGAGGAGAAATATGAATATCTTAGAATTTGTCTTCATTCAGGCAGAGAAATAATTTAAAAATTTTTTTAAATTTATTGATTTTAGAGAGAGGGGAAAGGAGAGCGAGAAACATTGATTTGTTGTTCCATCTATTTATGCATTCATTGGTTGATTCTTATACCTGCCCTGACCAGGGATTGAACCTCCAACCTTGGCATATCAGGACGATGCTCTAACCAACTGAGTTACCCGGTCAGGGTTCAGAGGAATAATTTTTAAATGTCTCAGATCTTACTTATGAGATGTTTTGTAAATTATAATAGCATGAAATGGAATGTGTTCTTCTAACGTTAACTGCCCAGCTTGCAAAACTTAGCATATTACTGTAGCTTGCGGAAATAAAAGAACCCCTTAAGACCAATGTTGATGAGTCGGGGGTGGATGGTAAAACTGCAATACCACAGTTTCTGCCAGAAGGTAGAAAGAAGTTTGGTGAAACATCTGATTAAGCCCAGAGTGACCGTATATGAGCAAAAACCCCATTGCAATTCTGGGGAGAAAAAGGACAGGAGAATCTGACAAAGTAGATTTTTAAAACTTATATTTTTAGAAGAATGGTCCCATAAATTTTTTTGTGTTGTTAGTGATTTATAAAATACCTACAGTGAGGTGGGTTCTAAATATTATTGTATCAGTACATGAGATTTGGTACCACAAATCCTAACTCTTTCATTTATTGATAACTGAAAATGCTTTGTGAACTACAAACTTGCATTGTATCATTATAATATGATTACAGTTGAGTACTATTTCTTTATATTATCAAATTGCATATATGTTAGAGAAACAGATTAAGTTAGTGATTGTTCTCTGTATTTACCTCAAGTTCAAAGCAGGGCGGAGTTAGGAGACAGCCTAACTGCATGACAAAAGAATGAAGTAATGGAGCCTGTTGCTTCAAAAAAGCAAAACTTAACCCATAAAACATTCTGCCCACAGATAAAAATTAGCTATAATTTGTTTCGTGTATGTTTTTTCATTGGTTATCTTCAATATTTGCTAGACCAGGAATTATATGTCAGTGAACTACACCTGAAGGTTTGTTTCAGAGTCCATGGTTACTTTTCCTTCTCATGTTAGCTGTAAGGAAAAAGTGAGGCTATGGCAGGGACCAGCAACAGCCTGGGTAAGACCCAGGTGCTTTTATACTTCCCAGTGGAAGACTAGGGGGGAAAAACAGAGGAAACTGCCTCCACAGATAAGAGTCCTGGCTAACTAGGCCTCTGGTTTTCTCATCTCCACACAGACTTGCCCCCTGCACAGGTATACACATCTGGCCTAGTCTACTCCTCAATACCCTAAAATAACTTGGTTAGTACTGGGCTCTTAATACTTTGCATAGTAGTTTCTGCCTTCTGAGGCATTTTCACATCTTCATTCCATCATAGGAGTGGGGAACTAGAATTCAGAGTTGCTGTAACTCTCATGATTAGACAGTTTTTGGCACATTGGGATGAGAACCTTGGGGGTCAAGATTCCCAGTCAGAATTCTAAGACCCGTAAAGGAAGTCGGGAATTGGATTCTTACCTGAGCTAGCGGTTAAAGCCTCGCTCTATTTAGGACACTTGCCTCTTGACCTCTGCCTCTAAGATGTGCATTTTAGAAACCCATATTTAGTGCATTCCTTGGAGTGTGCCCAGGGGGGTTGTAGAGAGGAAGGTCAGGTACTATAGAGGGGATCACTTAGGCTTGGTGAGTGAATACATAGGTAGGTGCCTTAAAGAGACCAAGATGAGAAAGCCTGTCTGGTTAATGATGTATATTTTAAGAAAACCCATATACTTGACCATTACTTAGCTCTCTTAGTCTTCCAGACCCCAAAGAGGTCTCCATACCTGAGACTCATGACACTAGCCTGGCCTGGTAAGCCTTGTCAAAGTCTCACTTTGATTGCTTTATGGAGAGAGTGTAAGCGGGACCCAAGAAATACACCTTTGCCAAATTCTACTTAATGGTATTTCTCCTTCTTTATTTTTAAGTGAGACTTTCAGCTATAGCGTAAGTGAATATTTCTATGAATTGTGTTATCTTATTAGTGGTGCCTATCTGGTCTTGTTAAAAACAACTCTCTTGGGACTGTTGCAATTAGGTTACCAGAAAAAGTATTAAAATTAAAATGAGAAAGTGAGACAAATAGGACAAAATGTACCTGTAATTGAAGCTTTGTATTCCCTTTGGTAGCATTACAGAGAGTGGTGATGGCTTAGGTGAACTTTGTTTCTTGAATTATTTCACAACTTTTTTCATAAAACTTGATTTTCAAGAGAACATTTCTTGCAAGTAAAGAGATTTTTTTTTTTTTAATCCTCATGATGTTTTTTTCCATTGCTTTTCAGAGAGAGAGGAAGGGGGAGGGGGGAAAGGGGGTGAGAGAGACACATCAACTGGCTTCTTCAACCACAGGTGCCCTGACCCAGGGCTGGGGATCGAGCCTGCAACCAAGATATGTGCCCTTGGCTGGAATCAAACCTGGGACTCTTCATTCCGAGGGCCCATGTTGTAACCACTGAGCATAACTAGCTAGGGCAAGTAAAGAAATATATATATGTTTTTTAATATATTTTATTGATTTTAGAGAGAGGAAGGAAGAGGGAGAGAGAGGTAGAAACATAAATGATGAGAGAAAGTCATTGATCGGCTGCCTCCTGCACTCGCCCTGCTGGGGATCGAGCCTGCAACCCAGGTATGTGCCCTGACTGGGAATTGAACTGTGGTGATCTGGATCATAGCTCGATGCTCAGCTGCTAAGCCATGGGGCCAGGCACTTTATTTTTTAAAATCCTCACCCAAGGATATTTTTTCCCATTGGTTTTAGAGAGCGGGGAAGAGGGAGAGAAAGGAGGGGTTGGAGAGAAAGTTAAACGATGTGAGACAGAAATATGGATGGGTTGCCTTCCTGCACACACCCCGGACGGGCTAGGGAACAAACCTGCAACCCAGGTACATGCCCTTGATCGAGAATTGAACCCGAGACGCTCTGGTCCTCAGGCTGTGGCTCTAACTACTGAGCCAGATGGGCCAGGGCAAGCTTCAGTAGCTTTGATTCAGGTACAGGTGGCACTGAGAACACAAAGGCAGGTGTTAAAACAGCTGAAGGCCTCAGGCAGCTCCATGAGGGCAAGGCAGTCTCTTTTGTTCTCTATTATATCCTTCCAGGGCATTGTACATAGATAATTCAATGTTAAATGAAAGCCACAGATAGAATGAAAACTTCTGATTGTAGGATCTGGGTTTTTGTTTTGTTCTGTATCTTATTTGGATTATGTTCTGCTTTGAGAATCTGGTGAAAGCTGTGGAATCCTCCAAAAAACAACAACATACACTAATGTATTTACATACAATTCTGCATATACTTTGAGGATATTCTTTGATAACTGGGACCCATTCATGTCACCTAAGTTAGAACTTTTTTTTTTTTTTTTTTNATGGCATTGATACCTGGAATTCATCAGATTCGTGTCACTTGAGGAGCTACATCAATACATTCTTAATGGGGAGCATAAAAATCACCTGAAGAGCTTATTTAAATCCCCATTTCTGGCCCACCTTAAAGATGCTGAATTAGTCTAGGTATAGCACAGGAATCTTTTTTTTTTTTTTTTTTTTTTTACTATGTCTTTATTGACTTCAGGGGGAGGGAGAGAGAGATAGAAACCTCAATGATGAGAGTCATTGATCGGTTACCTTGTGCACGTCGCCCACTGGGGATCAAGCCCATAACCCCGGCGTGTGTCCTGACCGGAAATCGAACTGCAATTGCCTGGATCATAGGTCAGTGCTTAACCACTAAGCCATGCCAGCTGGGCCCAAGTTAGAACTTCTGATTTCAATGTGACCCATTGTGCTCCTGATCTTATTTTTATGTAACCTGAGAGTGTACATTCTTGAAATATCAGTATGGGGAATGGAGACTGATTGGGGAAGCATAAAGCTGCTGTGACAACCAGTGCTTGGGCCCTTTAGCTCTTTGTTCTTTGAATCAAGTGCTAGAAGTCAGGCAGTAGAGTTATTTCCAGAACCCTTCTGTTCATACCCTGGACAAGGAGAGCTATAGGAAACTATTGCCAGTATCAAGAAGTGCCCTGTTGCCGTTCAATTCTTGTCTTTTTGCATGGTCCTCACTAGACACAAGAATGGTGCCTACTATGTATATCAACTTATGCCTAATTTTAGAGTTAACATGTACTCCCCAAGTGCTAAGTGCAGCCAGCCACAAAGATAGTACTGTGGCTCTTCTAATAATGATTAAGATTGTCATCGGGTCACAGTAGTAAAGATGGTGCATAAGATATGTGTCTTCTCTTGATCTGTTGATAGGGTCAGCCACATCTTCCAGGCTTTGAGTGCTCCTTGAACTGAGTTGATTGATACCCAACCACTTAAAGATTTACCTGCCCTCCAAAGCCAGTGCTTCTTTGGGCTCAGTCCTGCCATGAAGCCAAAGGAAGGGCATTAGACCAGAATTGGGAGTAATGAGAGGAGCTGCAAGATGGTTGAGAAGCTACTGACCGTTTTAGGATTTGAGCCATAGCACCATTCATTAGAGATATGGAAGAAGCTGGTCCATAGTCAGGCCTGTAATTGTGGGCAGCAGGCAAGATAACATAGCCAGGGC